GTGTGTGTGTGTGTGTGTGTGTGTGTGTGTGTGTGTGTGTGTGTGTAAGTAAGTATCAGAGGGCTTTTTAACATTTGTTTTGCTTGCCAAGGGCTTCTCTGCTGTGTGTAATTTCCCCTTTGCATTAGCGTCTAGTATTTTTACTTTTTTCAGAGATGAAAACCACCCAGATCCATGTGCATGTCTTTCTCCTGTCCAGCTTTGCTTGGGAGGTTTCTCAGCAGATCTGTTGAGTGACTCTGGGTCAGCTGGACACACATGTGCAGGGTGGCTGCTGTTAGAATCACAGTTGGATGGAGGGATCCCACCTCATCTTCCACCTTTGTGGAAAGGAGGAAGCACTGGCACATTGGAAGGAACAACATAATGCCGAAGGCAGGGTGTGTGCCAGGAGCTCGGTTTCTGTGGCCTGGCTTTCTTCTGAAGATCTCGCGGGGCTTTTACTCTGCTTTCCTTTCATCTCATAATCTCCTTGTGAGGGAGTTTGGCGCAGAAATGTTCACGGCATCATTGGCGTAAAGCTGGAAGAGACCTCAGAGGTCACCCAGGCCAAGACCTCCCGTCCATCCTTCCTTTCTTCCTTCCCTCCCCCCTTCCTTTTCCTCCGTTTCTCCCCCCTTCTTTCCTTCCCTTCTTCCCTCCCTCCTTCCTTCCTTCCCTCCCTCTCTCGTTCCATTCTTCCTCCCTCCCCCCACTTCCTTCTTTTCCTCCTTTCCTTCTTCCTTCAGGTGAAGTGACTCGTCCAAGGTCAGTGGTCAGTTACCCCATGAGTGGTTAGCAAAGGAAAGGTAGGAGAGGTTTTTAGTCTTTAATTGACATCCAAGTGGCTCAGCTGTTGACGCTTGTAGAAATGTTGAAGGAAGGTAAAAAAGAATTACTGAGATGAAGGCTCAGTAAGGAAGATGGTCCCTAGCACCCTGTAGTCATTCGTTATGTCGGCAGGAAGCACACGGTGTGACTCGCTAACTTTTGATGAGCATCTTTGGCGCTAAGGACAAGGCCTAGTAAGGAGCATTTCCTAAGGGCCCTTAGCACATGACCCTTCTACGTAGAAGGTCATTGGTTGTTGTTGATCCTGGAATGGTGCATGCTGTCTGAAAAAGGCCGTGAGGTCAGGCCCACCAGAGGAAAGCCACAGCCTCACAAAGGAAGCCTGTCCCTAAGTGAGTGTTGAAGGACAAGGAAATCTGGAGCTGCACCTCCTGCTGAAATGTCTGCATTTTTGAAGGGAGGCGGGGGGAGGGAGGACATGGTACAGAGAAAAAGACTTTGCCCTAAGGGGAAGCCTTCCACTTGTCCTCTGCCATCATATAGAAATCAGTTCGGAGGAAGGACTGAGTGCCAGTGCCAGGCTGATGGGGCTTTGCCTCCTTCTTTAGACAAGATGAAAGGTGGCGTTTATTTGCTTAAAACAGTGATGGGAAGAGAGGATCTAGAGGATTGAACGTTATCCTCTTTGACTGGATCTTTTGTTTAAGTTCCACCTTTTGGACTTTGGTTGAGTTCTGTTCAGTGTTTGTATAAATGCCCCCAAGGAAGGAAGGTCCTGGAGAATGTTGGCACTCAGCTCCCTAAGGGGAAAGGCAGACCCTTGTTGGAATGTGGGTGGTGAGCCCAGTACATCTCCAGAGGTAGTTGGGCAGGAATTCACCAGGACAGAGCCTGAAATAAAAACCTTAGGAAGAAGGAACATGTTCTATTTCCCCTCCTTTATCTTCACCATCTATGCAGATCAAGCTAGCTTCGAGTGACTTCCAGGGGAATAGGATCGGGATGGGCGCAGGGCTTGTGATTTCCCTGGGGTAGCGAAGGCCCTCCACCGGTACTGGTTGGTCCCTTCCCTGCAGTATAGAATCTGGAGAGTTACCTGGAATGCTGAGAGCTTAAATGATGTGCCCAAGGTCACGGCCAGGATGTGTCCGAGGCAGAACCCAGGTCTTCCTGGCTTTAAGGCAAGCCCCCATCTGTAACTCCAGCCTGCCTCTCATCTGGTTTTGTACTGAATGTAAAGGCACAGATTGCGTTTGGTTCATGACATTGTTAGTTAGGGGATGTAGGGGTTTTTCCCCTCCTAAGAATCTAGAGCGTTTCATAGATAACTTTTGTCTTTGATCGACTTCCTGACGACAGGTAGATGAGGCACATCCTCAGGGCTGCGCAGAGCAGCCTGTGGGCTTGGGGAGGAAGCTCACAGGCCAGTTTCCCCAGCTGCTCAGTAGGGAGAAGTCGTTCATTCAGTCTTTCGTTCATTCAGTCGTAAATCTAAGGCTCACAGAGTGCTGACTGTGTGCAGAGAGACCTTGGCAGATAGAAGGACAGAAACTTCTTCCTCCGAGAGCTTACATTGGTCTGGGGGGCTAAGTTATTTATACAAATACATGCCGTATCTGAGTACTCTTAATTCCAGTACAAGGTAGCGGAGGAAGTGTCTGGAGAACGGGTTGGAATTCAGAGAAGGAAGAGCGCACGGCAGGCCATGTCCCAGCAGATTTCGACCTCCCTGAAGGCGGGGCCTGGTTTTGTCTTTGTATCTCCAGTGCTTAGCACAGTGCCTGGCACCCAGTAAGCGCAGTAGGTGCTTATTGGCTAACAGAAACCTTCCCAGAATTGCTCCTATTCTTTCTGTGTCTTGAACCCCAAGGCCGACATCCCTCCGTGGCGTCAGTTATCCACTTAGGGAAGGAGGATCGCTTTTCCGCTGTTGGGCAGTGATCAGAAAGGCAGGGCAGAGGGGCATTTGAGCAGTGGCATGGAGGACCCATTGAGGACCCATTGCTTCAGAGGTAGAATGTTCGAGAGGCCAGTGGGATGAGGTGCCCTGACCCTGGGACCCAACCAAGAGTCCAGAGTCAAGAAAAAAGCAATGACTAAGAAGACAGAAGATAGAATTTCAGGGGTCTTCTCAGGAGGGCTGCTGACTGGGGCTGGTAGAGGGTTATGTGGTGACCCTGGGCTGGGGGGATAGGCCTGGATTTTTTGAGCATCTTGGGATCTGGCCATGGCTTAGGCACAAGCCAGGCAAAGTCAAGTCTCCAGGGTGTATTTTGAGATGGGATAAAGCACTCAGTGAATCAGGAAGAGTCATTACCCTGGCATTTGGGGCCTGTTCACCATTTTATCTGTGTTTTGTTTTGTTTTGTTTTTCAGGATGCTAATGAGGGAACATATGAAAAATGGAGAGTGGAGAATTCCTGGGGTGAAGACCACGGCCACAAAGGTAAACTCATATGCTGCTTGTTGGCAGCTTGACTGGTAACTGCTATGTCCCTTCAGAAAGCCAGCTGGACGGGCTGTCTGGTCAGGGCCTGGATCGTCAGACTCGAGGTTGGCAGGATCAGAACTACTCTCAGGAAAAAACCTGAGGCTCTGTGGTGTCTTTTCTGTAATCCTAGATACCCACTATGGCATGCCCCAAGAAGCTCTTCAGCCTTTCTGATGGATCTTGGAGCCACCATGTGCTGAGTTGGGCTGGATTCCTTGGGTCAGTCAGCAGCCCTCCCCACACCAAAACTGATATCCCATGCTGCCTGGAGCTTTGTCAGCCGAGTAACCAGCCTCCTTCAGATAATCAGGTCTCCCGAGAGGGAGAAGAGAGGTTGGCAGAGGGGCCTGTTTCAGGTTAGCACCAAAGATCACTCAGTTTTGTGAAAGACACGGGTGATCAGGAACTAATACAGCTTTCTGTTGAAAGGCATAGTAGAAGTCATGAGTAAACAGTAGAGTATGCTTTTAATGTATATTTTTAATAATAGATAAGAGCTTTTAAAAAGTGCTCATCACTTAGCTTCTAGGGATTCAGACCAAGATACCATGAATTCCAAATTGGTCTTGGTCTGTACGGTGCCTAGCACATTGTGAGCCTGGAGCCAGACCTTCCCCAAGGCCGACATCCCTCCGTGGCGTCAGTTATCCACTTAGGGAAGGAGGATCGCTTTTCCGCTGTTGGGCAGTGATCAGAAAGGCAGGGCAGATGGGCATTTGAGCAGTGGCATGGAGGACCCATTGAGAACCCATTGCTTCAGAGGTAGAATGTTTGAGAGGCCAGTGGGATGAGGTGCCCTGACCCTGGGACCCAACCAAGAGTCCAGAGTCAAGAAAAAACAATGACTAAGAAGACAGAAGATAGAATTTTAGGGGTCTTCTCAGTTGTGTTTTTCTGTCGTCTCCTTCGTTTTCTTTCAGAAGGGCCTGTTGATCTGAGCCGTGTGCTCCATAGAACCAGAGAATTCTAGTTTGGGTAGTGCCCACAAGAGGTGGCAGCAGCAGCCTGACTTACTGGATGGGGAGGGGTCTGGACATTCCTGTCAAGCAGATGCTCAGTGGAGCTCTGTGTCCTTGCAGTGTGGTGACCCTCAGTGTCACTTGAGTCCTCCCGTTCTCCGGAGGCCACCTGGCCCAACCCAGAGCCGTCCCTGTGGTAGCCCCCTGGTCATCCAGCACCTGGATGGGTGGGCCTTTTCACATCTGGGCTCTGCTTTGGTTTCCTTCCTCTGTTGAGCAGCTTTGAAGGCGGTGAGGAGATGTGGGTGCTCATCCTGGCTCTGCTGCCTGTCACTCCTCAGGTGCCCTCCCATAAGTCCCTTGTCCCATTGTCCCTTGTTCATTGGGGGTGGGAGGAGGTGGTCAGGAGACAACGGCAGTGTACTAGAGGATCTCCAAGGTCCTGATGGCTCTGCCATCCTCAAATCTCTGCAGCCTGAAGGCCATTTTGTACTGTTTTTCTGTAGCTTTTGGCATGTTGGCGACCCAGGTCTTTTCATCTCCCCATGAAAATGATCTTTAGCGATTCTTGGATTCCTGTCCCTTGACTCTCTTCTGAAACCCAGTGGCCTGATTTTTGTCTAAATACATGCAAGTGCTCTTAGTGCCTTTCTGTTTATCTTCAGAGTGGTGTATGTACCCCCTTGGAGAGAGCTCCATTGATTCCTCTGATTGTCATGTGATTACGAAGGTGCTTGTGGCAATGCCTGCTGTGAATTCAGGCAGCATGAGGCTGGAATTGGGGAGCCCGCTGAGCTGCTCTTTTTTTAATGGTGGTTTCCTCTTAGATGGCTTTGCTTTCCTTTGAGGCAGCAATTAGGGGTACACTAGGGAGGCTCACTAAGGAGGGGCCAGCATGGCTTCACAAAATTCCAGACAGTTCACTGAAAAGGCATTTGAAAAAGCATTCACCATTGTGTGTGTGTGTGTGTGTGTGTGTGTGTGTGCGTGTGTGTGTGTGTGTGTGCGTGCGTGTGTGTGTGTGTGTGTGCGTGTGTGTGTGTGTGTGTGCGTGTGTGTGTGTGTGCGTGTGTGTGTGTGTGTGTGTGTGCGTGTGTGTGCGCGCGCGCGCATGCCCCTCAGGGCAGTCACTGGCTGATGGCACCCACTGGAGGTATGGGAATAGCATTTGAAAGATAGAATTATTTGTAGGATGTTTTTTAAGTTTTAAAAACCTTTCTAGAGGTGAATTTGAAAGGCATTCAGCTCTGCTTTGTTTGGTTTGTTCATTCATTTTCCCATCATTGCTGATGCTTCAGTTAAAGCCTCCAATAACCTCGTATTAGCTTCTGACCCGTCCTGAAATGAGCCAAATGCAGGCTCATTGGATTATTTATCATGATTGACTAGACGGGTTTGGGTTGGTGGGCTCACACAACGTTGTGAGCTGTGACTCTCATTTTGGGGGACAGAAATGATAACAGCAGGGAGAGGGTTTTCTTTTTTTATCTTAATTATTTTTATTTATTTCATCAAACATTTCCCAATTACACGTGAACAGATTTTTAACAATCATTTTTTAAAATTTTGAGTTCCAAATTCTCTCTCTGTCTCCCCCCTCCTTGAGAATGTAACCAATGTGACATCAATTATACATGGAAGTTAGGCTCAACATAGGTCCATATTAGCCAAATTGCGAAAGACAACCAACAAAACCATAACAATAAAGTTTTTAAAAAGCATGCTTTGGTCCACATTCAGAGATCAGCAGTTCTCTCTCTCGGGGGGGGAGAGCATTTTCACCATGCGTCAGAGATAGCGCTGCTTTCTGAGCTGGGTGACTTCATGGAGCTGTTTTTCCTTATGGCTTTCCTTTGCCTTCTGAGGTTGACTCCCTAGCCATATGGCCATCCCTAAATTAAAAAGCAAAACAAAATAGAAAACTTGGGAACCAGCTTCAGACTACTTTGCTAATCTCCTTCCCCCACACCCCCCCAGCCCCCCACCCACCCCCAGCTATGCACTCATGATGAATAGAAGTCCTGTCTCTCCCATTACCACATCCCTCCGTTGAGTCTCATTACTGCTGTTCTGCTCGTAATCTTTTGTTATAAAGTCTTTAGCTCTCTAACTAGAGGTTAAACTAACATTTTGTTATTGTTCTCAAATAACTGAAATGCCAGAGATTATGTAAAGCAAAACATTTCCTTAGGGAGCCAAAAGATAACCGGGCCTGGGGGAGGTTCAGGGAGCCACATCCAAAATAAATTCTTCCCAAGGCCTGCTTGGTCCTTTCTGACTTAGATGTGATTTGTTTACTTGGCACATTTGAGAATCTTCTAAGGAGAGGTTAGTGCTAGGGGATTATGTTCTCTGGGTGTGGGTTTATCACCCATAACCCTATTGTGCATTAACTGGCACCGCCCAGGAGATTGCCCAGGACGGTACTTCTGCAGAGAAGGCTGTTCCCAGTTTGTCCTTCTTTTCTTTGGGGTTTGTATCAGGCAAGATCGATTGCTCCTGAAAAATCGACCCTGATAAAACTCAGTGGAGGCAGACCGAACCCAAAGGCCTCTGGCAAGCCACCCACCCAGCTCTCCTACCTGAAGTTCACGTCCAGGAGCCTCGACTTGGAGACAGCCAGGCATGTCGCCTCATTCAGTGGCTTCTTGAAGCAGCCTTTGTTCTGACTTGTATCAGCAGAGGAAGGAGGGCTTGCCTCCCTTTCCTGCTTGGGTTTCTCCTGCTGGTGACACCAGTGTCCATTGCCAGCTGTGCTCTAGTGTTGGAGTGTGTTCAACACCTGCCCAGACATCTGGGCTTGTTTGCTGCCCCGCTCCTTGGAGGGATTGACATTAAGCCCTTGGTCTTGCTTCTGGATGATTCCATTTTGATGAGGCGGTTGACCTTGGAGCCTGTGCTAGAGGTCTGCATTGTGAAGAGCAGTCTGGCTTGTTCAGTTGTGAACTAGCTAAGCGTTTCAGGCCTAGAGGGGGGATAGCTGCTCATGCTCAATGAGGAGAGGTAGGTTAACAAACACACCGGCTGCTTTTTACACAGGAAAGCATAAACTGGGCAAGCCCCATGACATCAGTGAGCCTCAGTTTCCTCATATGCAAAAGGTGAGTTATGTTTCTAACAATAGCCCAACCATTGTTCATTTACTTCTAGACTGTCTCTCCTTATCTCCACTCCTCCACACCCCCAACAAAAACAACCAAACAAACAAAAAACAAAACTATGCCAAAGCCAGCCCTCTACCTGGAAGCCTCCTCTCTTGGTCAGTCAGTGACTCTGCCTGGGGCTGCCATTTTAGGAGGGGCCCCAGCCATGCTTCCTCTCACTCAGCCCTGAACTTTCCCCAGACATTTCTCTCTCTCTCTCCCTCTCCTCCCCCACTTTCCGGTTCCCTTTTATATGTTGTCCTAGAAGGTGGGGACTGTGTTACTTTGATTTGTGTCCCCAACATTTAGCACAGTGCCTAGAATATGATAAGTACTTTAAAAATGCTTTGTGTCTCTGTCTGTCAGAGCATTTTACATAGACTGTCTCATTTGATCCTCGAAACAACCTTCTGAATTGGGGGCTGTTATTATTCCTGTTTACATATGAGAAAATTGAGGCACGGAGATGTTGTGACTTTCCCAGGCCTAGACAGCTGGTAGTGACTGAGGGGGGATTTGAACTCGGGTCTTCCGTACTTCATGTCCTGACCCGTGATGAAAAATGCTATCTACCTCCAGAGAAAGAACTGGTAAGCAATTTGATATAGGTTATACATGTGCAATCATGCAAAACATATTTCCCTGTTAGTCATGTTGTGAAAGAAAACACAGACAGAAAAAAAAAACCCACCAAAAAAAAGTGAAAAAAAGTATGCTTCAGTCATTCAGACACTATCAATTTTTTCCTGGAGGTAGATAGCATTTTTCATCAGGAGTCCCTTGGAGCTGTCTTGGGTCGCTGTATTGCTGAGAATAACTGTCCTTCCCACTTAATCGTCATGTACCATTGCTG